TCTCTCTCTCAATCTGTTATAGGAAGAAAATAAAGCTGTACGGTTAGCCTTCTGTATCTGTGGACTCCACGTCTGTGGTCAACTAAGCTTAGGCCAAAATTACTTGGAAAAATTTGTCTGCACTTGACATGTACAGCTTTTTGTCTTGTGAACTATGTACATAGCGTTTACACCATACCAGGTACTCTAGGTAATGTAAAGATGAGGTAAACATGCAAGATGTGCACAGGTCATTGGCAAATGCATGCCACTTTACGTGAGGGATCAGCCGGAACCCTCCCCACATACTGAAGGATGACTACTTGGTTAAGAGATCATAGTTGGAGCTGGGCATGGTGGTGCACGCCTGTACCTGGGAGGCTGAGGCAGGAGGATCGTTGCAAATTTGAGACCAGCCTGGGCTACAAAGCGAGCTCAAGGCCAGCTTGAACTTCACAATGAGCCCCTGTCTTGAAAAAGGAAAGGAAAAGATTGTAGTTCGGTCTCAGTCACTTGCAGGCAGAGGCTGCCTCTAGTGATGTGAGCCTATCTAATATCAATCTACCCTTTTATTTGGAGCCAAAAAAGCAAAAAGCAAAGTAGTCTCAGAAACATGTTAAAAAGTTGAGTCCAAATATAACCTTCAGGCATCATGAAGTTAACCTTATTTTACTTTCAAACCATAGTTGTTTTTCTAATTTTGAAATACCCCTGAAGTAATCTTTATCCCTCTAAAAACAAATCCTTAAAAATGCCTCACTTTTGAAGGGCTGATAAACCAGTAATTATGGTTTAGATCTAGAATCCCCCCCGCAAAAAAACACCTTATGTACTTAGAAGTGGGAGACCATGGGTCCATGGGGGCACCACATCCCCCAGTGAGCCATGGCCCACTGGTGAGACTGGCAGGGCTTGGGTGAAGAGGTGCGTTACTGGGCCTGCCACCGCTCCCTGGCTACATTCCTTCCCATGCCATTTCTGCCCTGGAATCAGCCAACCATGGTCTGAATCCCCTGAGATCAATTGAGTCAAACTTTAAGTATTAAGTAGTCTGTGCTGGGTATTTTGTTCCAGCAATGGAAAAGGTAATACACCATGTAGGAGCAAATGGCACATTTTCTCAGAGGAATAATTCTGAACACCAATTTTTCTTTTCTTAAAATACACTTTCAATTATCCAACAAGAACATCCGATCTTTGAGCTCAGAGGACACCTCCCATTAAGGCTTATGTCTCATTAGCCTTAATTCTTTAAAGACCACCACTGTCATGAAGGGAAAACAAGCCTCACAGAGACAGTTCGCTTATACATAAAATGTATGTGGTCAGTACACACATACAGGATGTCTGAAATTATCAGTGATGTTCAATGCTGTCCTGAAATATGAAGCACAACACTGAAGGTGGAAACTAAAATTAACAAGTGCCTACATGTTTATCTTACAGCCTCATGTATTACAGCACCTGCTTTCTATCCTATGGGATGAAGGTAGGAGACATGACAGAATACCTGGAGTACCACTTCTACCAAAGTTAATGAATTTCTTGATTTGGTATAATTATTTTCACATATAACCCCTACCAAGTTGACCTGTGGAAGTATGAAACAAAATTTGTAACCAGTTAGTTATTCCTGAGACCAAAGAACAGATCGGGGAGCGGCAGTGGGGATGGGCAGAGGGAATTTAAAGCAGCTCTGAGATGGGCTATGGGCTATGGGCTTCCCGACCATGCTGTCTTCTCACTTGATGCTTTAACTTACATGAAGCTTAAACTCTTTACACATGAGGTAATGCTTTCAAGCAATCAGAAGTCTGTGTAGAAGCCTCCCTATTGTTCTCTGCAGAGTTTGGTATGTTTCATTCATCAACTAGTCAGCCAAGTATCAGCACCACTTAATCAGAGGAGACTGAATCAGGGAACTCACAAACTAGGTAGAAAAGTAATCCCATACCTGGGAGGGAGCAAATCCTGGGGACAAGACTGAGAGCAACCACTGAGCCTGGAGGAGTGGCACCAGGTGAGGGAATTCTGGGAATCCAGGAGGAGCAGGGCACAGCAGTCCTGGAGAAGGCAACGTACAGGCAAAGGAAAGGACACAGGAAGCATTGCAAGGCACTCCAGCAGGGAGCTGACAAAAGACCAGGGGCGACTGTGTATTCAGGAGTTTAAAACTCTAAAGGTTTTGGAGCTGGGCATGGTGGCACAGGCGGGTGTGGTGGTGCACATCTGTAATCCCAGCACTCAGGAGGCTGAGGCAGGAGGACTGTTGTGAGTTCGAGACCAGCCTGGGCTATGAAGTGAGCTCAAGGCCAGCCTGAACTGCATAGCAAGACCCTGTCTCAAAAAGACAAAATAATAATAATAATAATAATAATAAATAAATAAAGGCTTTGGAAACCTGCTGAGGGGTGTAAGCCAGAATAGCAGCTCAGTTTTAGAAGTGTTTCCCGGCAGCGGATGGTTGGATGGAGGAAGGGCAGAGGCCAGCTAGGGAGGCACCTGCTTACATTCTTCCCCCAGTAAAAATGCAACCAAAGAAACTAGAACCCAGCATGGAGGATGTTATGCTTGTGAACCAAATGTCAAGAAAGAGAAGGGCCCCATATCGAAAGGGATTCTTCTCTACTGGTTCATCCCATCACCTGTGAACATCTTCATCTCCACAGGAACACACTCTTCCCCCGGCCCCACCCTGACCCTTTGATCGCCTGTTTGCCATGCCAAACCTTTTCACTGTACTGACTATGGCAGGTCTCTGCTTCCCCACCTTGCACCTGCACATCACCTTGCTCCACCCCTACTGCTTTTGTCAGCAAGCAGACTGCCAAATCCCACGAGCCTTCTCTCTACATTTTAAGCCATTTTCTTCTCTGGACTCACACAACACCCCAACTTACTGTTTCTGCTATTGCTCTGGCCAGTTCTGCGGCTTCTTAGTATTTGTCTTGTCCCCTGTTCCTCCTTCACTAGATCCCTCAACGATGGAGTACTGAGGACTTGGTCTAAGAGCTCTCATACTCCCCCCAGGCAAATGCACAGAGGTCATCCACATCACTCTACACATTCCATGTGCTGTCTTCCCAGAGAGGCAGGCGCTCATCAAGCAATCCAAAATTTCCACTTAGACAATCAAATGGTATCTCAAACACTGCTGACAGCCAATGACCGGTGACCCTGGAAAGGCAAAATTCTAGTTTTTCCCATCTCAGGATGTACTCTGGCCATATAACTGGCCATATCAAATTCTAAGCCAACTAGTCACCTTGACTATCCTTTCCATCCTTATTCAATGCATCCAGGTCATACCAGTTATTTTCAAAATGTGTCTCCAATCTATTCCTCATCAACCTCACAACCCAAAATGGTTCAAACTGCTATCTTTTCTTTCTTGGATTAGCCAGTGGCTTCTTAAAAGTTATTACTTCTACATTGCTTCACTACAGTTCAATCTTCTGATGAGCTGGGGCACTTTTTCTGAAAAAAAAAACAAAAAAAAAACAAAAAAAAAAACTGCATCATGCTACGCCCTAATTGAAAAACTTTGGATGAATTCTTACTGTGCTTCGAGTACGATGTAAATGTGTCCCAGGGCTCACAAGGACTGGCTGTCTACTTCTTGCGTCTCTCAGACTTCATCTGCTTCTACTCCCTTCCTAACTGCACTCTAACCACCGCAGCCTCCTTACCCCTCCCAACAGCAGCACATGGACAACAGCGCAGAAGGGCTTAGCCTGGAGTTTGTTTCTGCTTCAAGGTTTTTGCAACTATGTCCCTTTAGCCTGGATCTTTTCAAAGCTGGCTTTTGTCATTCAGCTCTCAACTCAAATACCAATTGCTCAAAGAAGCCAGGCTAACTTTAGCCATCTAAAATTATTCTCATACTGCTATATGAATTCTACCACAGTACTGAGCAAAATTTTATGTTTAACCCAACTAGAATGTGAGATATTAAAAGGGAGGACTCTCACCTGTCTTGCTCCCTACATATCCTGAGAGCTGAGCATACAGTGGACATTCAAGAAATACAAACTGAATGAATACCTTAATCCTCCTTGTATCTAGAATTCTCTTACAATGGAAGTATTGTAAGAAAGGACAGAATATAATGGACATTTAGATAACAAGATCCAATTTATATAACATCACTGCTGTCAATTTTTTCTTTCCTATTAAAATTACATTTTCTACAAAATCTGTCCAGTAGTATTTGCAATCTTTGACAAAAATAAATGGAAGAGTACCAGCCATGGAATCCTTGTAACTATTATGTCTTTCCTATGTCAATGTCTCCTACTAACTCAGCAAGAAAAACCTACTAAAACAAACATACACACACAAACAGAAAAAGGCAAGTTTAAAGGCACCATACTACCCCAACAGACTGAGAGCACTTCCTAACTGGGCAATGAGTCAGAGGTCAGCACTTCTATCTTTTTAACAGGTCTATTTCACTGTCATTCCTAACAATGCACTCGCTTACACATACAAAAGAATGAAGTGAATGTTAGAAGAGATGTGAGAGCTGAATGACTCTGAGCACAGTACCCAGTCAGTGCAAAATAACTGTCTGTTGAATGAACGCTTCCTAAGAACGCAGGTTACGGGCAAAAATATAACTTACAAATGGCTCAAAGGAGCTTCCCAGATGTGTTGCTGATTCATAAAGCTGTTAAAGAAAAACAGCAAATGCCTCCAAATGCAACACACTATTCTCCATTACATTCTCAATGGTAAGGAGAGGCAGGTACCTGCCTATTTCATAGCTCCATTCCACGCTATGGTAGGCCAATTAAAGCGGAGTATAAATACACACATAACTCTTATTTAATGGGTCTGGCGAAAGGATTCCAATGTTTTACGAGATCCTGGAAGCTGAGCAAAGTCAACTGTCATAGCTTTAGGGTTCTGGAACTGAGTGAAACATTCATGAAATGAAACACGACCAGAGCTCTAGGTGTTGCATGTGCAAAGACATAACCACCAGTCATGCATTATGAACAACATTTTCAATACTGTCATAATATAAAACAAATCCTTTATTTTTCAAGTTTTTAAAAAACAATTTTACACTTAATCCAGCCTTGAAGATAAGCTCAAAATTTATCAGTTCACCATTTAAAAAAAAAAAAAACCACAACTCAAGCACCCACTCTGTGCATAGCACTTATCCTAGGTGCAATAAAAGGGAATCTTAACCTTACAAATGAGGTTGCACTTTTCTGTATTTCACTTTCTGCATTTTGTCCTTTCCCAGATAGTAAAAATAAATAAAATTGCCATTACTTCCTACTAATCTGCCCCAAACCCATGTCTGGCTCACAGGAGAGTTAATTTCTAAAAACTGTGAGATGCAAGGAATCCAGCTTCTGTTTCCCCCAAAGCAAGAAAGCAGATTTCCTTTACATTAAAAAAATAAAAAAAATTTTATGAAAGGGCAGTTTGTTTCTAGTATTTTTAAAAATCCTTTTTTCTCTTTAGCTTTTCTTTTTCTCCCTCCAGTATTGCCTTTTTAGTACAAGGTAAATCAGATATCTTTTCATGCTGCTTTTTCTTTCCTAAGTACTGTATTTTGAAGACAAACCATTCCCAAGAGTAGTGATAAAAACATTAAAACAACTTTAAAGGTAAGTCACCTACATTACCTTGATGAAGTAAAAACATAAAAAGCAGTTGGCACTAAGACAGCTATTCCAAATATCTGTGTCTAAACAATTTTAAAAACTGTTTATTTATTAAGAATGCACCCTTAGTCCAAAGTAACTATGTTTTAAAAAAATTTTGCCCCCCAAAATTTACAAAACCCCTTTCAATTCAACTTAATAAAAGTGATACCTAGAAAATATTCCACATTATTACGTCTGTCTCTAAAAAAGTTCAGATTCTGAAGCATTCCTAAGGCCTGGTGTCTGGAAGACAAATGTGCTTCGGCTGGCACCACATTCTCCACGAGGTGGCTACAGCAGGAATTGTCCTCTGCGGCTGTGGCACTGAGAGAAATCAGACGTAGGCTCCCAGGGCAGCATGGAACTCTGTGAGACACTGCACCAGCTGCTGAAACTTGGGCCTCTCCTCAGGATCTAAGGCCCAGCAGCAGGCCATCACAGCAAACCTGTGTGACAACGGAAAATGCGCTAGTGAAACAGCACGCCTTGCCTTTCGGTCAATTTGATAGCAGTTATGTTTTCTGTTTAAATGCGAATATGCAGAATATATTAAAAGAGATTACTAAGTGTTGGTAACTCTAAAATGAAAAACTAAGATTAATTATTTGGCTTATATGGGTCCTCATGAGAGGATACGAAAATATTTCAGCAAATACTAAGTTAATGGAAATACATAAAGCACAGTCAAATAAGGATAACCTGAGTTATCCCATATTTAAGTTCTGACAGGAAGAACTTGGAGAAAGTCCTACGTAAGCTCTGAGAGCCCTGGATCCACATCAAACCTTAGTCTGCTATAGAAACCTCCAGGGCATTCGGAAGACCACCTTCCTCTGTGCACCCACTTACTCCCCCAACCTACGGCCCACTCCACTTCACCACTGTGGCTACACGAAGAAAGCAGGAGGCAGGAAGCCGCGGTGCCACTCCCCAGCACAGAGCATCTTCTCTTGTCAGTGGACACTGGCAGGGAAAGGTGACCGCAAGAAAGGCTTTTACAGAGCCTGCACCCTTCCGCTTAAACAAGTGGCAGCATTCCATCAGCTCGCTCACTGTGCACAGCAGTCTCTCACACTAATTTACGGTGCTTAGATTACATACTACAGGGGCTGGGGATTTAGCTCAGTGGCAAAGCGCCTGCCTGGCAAGCGCAAGGTCATGAGTTCGGTTCCCGGTACCGGAGAAAAACCAAAAAAAAAAAAAAATACATACTACAAAGATGTCAAGTGTGGAAAAGAGTGAATAAATCTGTCTGATTTTGTGGTTCTCTACTAAAGTCTAGTTCAAGCCTGAGGAGGTACTCAAAAGGGATCTCTGTGTGACTATGGAAACTTTTTCTTTTTCTCTTAAAACAATATACTAAATGAAATGAGATTCATGTGTTCATACTCCAAAACACTCACAGTTCATCAGGACAGTTGATCGGCTGGGCTATTCGGTAACCATCTTTCAGGTATGCGGCCATCTCGAAGGGGTCAATGTCCACGTAGGGCGTCTGGCCCAGAGTCATAAGCTCCCACAGCGTCACTCCAAAGGCCCACTAGGAAAGGAGCAGACACAGATGAAGGGACATTTACAACTGTTGCCCGGATGCTGCTGCTGCCTTCAGCCAGCTAAAAGTTAAAAAAACAGCAGTTCAACTAACTCTTAAGGAAAGTAAAATAGTATTTATTTATAAAAAGAAATCTTTCACACCAAGTTAGCTTCTCTTGCTGGGAAAGAAAACAAGGTATTTCAATGAATGCATCCTCTAATGTAAACATTAGTATTATATACTCTAATGAAATTTATTGGAAGAAATTTTTTATTGATTATAAGCAATATAACCCCACACCATGAATTATATCTAAGATTTTCCTAATATAAAAATTTGTAACTTTAAAAATTATGGGTTGTCTATATGGCTGAGAAGTGGAAAATGACTACAGCCTAAATGAACCTAAGAACATCCTCAGTGAGAGAAATATACAAAATTATGTAAAATAAATAGTCATAGATATTTAATTTGGGGGGAGGTAGTGCGCAGGAGTCAAATCCAGGTCTTCCTATGTGCAAAGCACTTGCTCTACCACTGAACTACACCTCTAACACTATACTTAAAAGTGTTAATTAACCTATAAAAATACCCTAAAAATTATCTTCCAATCTTACTCAAGTAAAAGACAAGCTTACTTAAAATCAGCATATGAACTCTTAGTAGGAGCAGGTATCCTGAACAGTAGCACAGTACTTATTTATGGAATGACGGGCTCCGCAACTTGGCTTGGCCCTGGCCACACTGTCCACTGCCCTGGAGATGGTATGGAGGACAGGCAACATGTCCACACAGAGCCACTCTAAATGTGAACCCAAGGTTGCAAGTTGGGTAAGGAAGGAGATACCTGGAAGCCATTGTATATTTGTAAGTTCCTATAAATTCTAGGGATTTTAAAGCCTTTACCACAGTAAACTTTCACAATGAACGCTGAAAATAATTCATTGGTAGCTCAATTTCACAAGGTGAGGAAACTGAGGCTCAGATTAACGGCTTGCCCAAGAACACATTTTTTTTTAATAAATAAAAGGAGAAAAAGAAAAATATACAATAAATATATTTGTTTACAAATGCTAAGCACAGTGCATTAAATTGTTTCTTAAAAATAGTAACAAAGTCTAGAAGTATTCTATAAAATACACATTTTTAAAGAAGCTTTATCCAGGTTTAGCATCCCTAGTCCAAGTCCACAATCTGAAATGCTCCAAAATCCAACATTCTGTGAGTGAGGACAGGACAGCACAAGGGGAAAATTCTACATCATGAATCTGTTTCATGTACATTCATTAAAAATACTGAATAAAATTAACTTCAGGCTACGTACTTAAGGTGTATATGAAACAGTATGGGTCCAACCCCCCAAATACTTCAATATATATGTGCAAATAATTCAAAATCTGAAAAAAATCAAAGCGCTTCTGGCCCCAAGCATTTCCAACACAGAACCCTCAGTGTGTGCTAGCAAACAGCAGCCACGTCTCTTACCAGAACCTGTGCAATAAAAAAGTAATAGACTGACATTTATACAGTATTTTTAAACTACAAACTGAGAAATTTAAATCAATGTTGGCTTAAAATTTGCCTTAAAAGTATATTTTGGCTTAAAATTTTTTAAGCCAAAATATACTTAAAAAAATGAAGACAAAACACTGTGCTCTCTTAACACACAGAAGCAGATCTGTACTATGAGACCCAGAAGCATTCTTCATGTGGAAAAGATAACAGATGAGAATACGGATCTGCACAAGAGTGAAGACTGCTGAGAACATGTAGGTAATAGTAAAAGCATTTCCCCCTCAATTAGTTTCTTCAAAAAAGACTAAAGAAAAAACAGCCAACAGTGTATTGTGAGGTTTATAATACAGAGAGAAGTAAAATGCATGTCTACAATAGAATAAAGGGTAGGATGGGATGGACAGAAATACGTTACAAGGTGCTTACATTAAAATGAAGTGGTAGAATATTTTGAAAACCGAACACTGTAAACCTGTAACAGTTTTCTTAACTTTAACACTTCTGTCACTACAGCGTTTCTGTACAGGGTCCGTCCTGGATACTACAGAATATTCAGCAGCATCTCTGGGCTCTACCCAATAGATGCCACTCGCATGTCATCCAAGCTGTGACAACCAAAAGCTATTAATGTCCCCTGCTTGGGTAGTGGGCAAAACTGTCCCCAGGTGAGAATCACTGAGTTAGAGGGAATACAGAAAATAAAATTAACATCAGGAATGAAAGATGGTCATTTCAGATTGTATAGACATACTAAAATATTCTGAGAAATTCCATTTTATACCAATAAATTCAACAATTGAGATGAAGCAAAATTTTTTATACAAATAACCAAAACAGACACAAGAGCAAATAATCTGTATAGTCGTAAATTTATTAAAGAAGTTGAATTTACCATTAGAAAATGTTCCACAAAGAAAATTCCACATTCTATTTCACTGGTGAATTCTATTAAATTTTAAACAAATAATACAAATCAGTACTAGTTTAAGGCTACCATAATAAAGTATCACAAGCCAGTGGCTCAAAAAACAGAAATTTATTGCCTTACATTTCTCGAGACTAGAAATTCAAAATTAAAGTGTTGGCAGGGCCCTGACCTCTGTATCCTGCAGAGTGTTGGCTTCCTCACCTCTTCCAAGTCCCAGAAGTCCCTGGTGTCCTTGGGTGGTAGTGTAGCACTTCAGTCTCTGGCTCCGTCTCCACACAACACTCTCCCCTCACGTGATAGTACCTTTCTCTTCTTCTTCAGCAATCATTTTGGATTGGAGCCCACCCTAACTGAATATGACCTCACCTGGACACTGCATCTGTAGTGGGCCTGTTTCCAATAAGGCCCACAGTGTAAGGTTCTGGAGATTAAGATTTGTAGGGGGAAGGGAGTAATTCAGCTTATACAGTGAGCTATACAACCCTATAAAAACTATCCCAGAAAAGAGAGGAGGGAATACTTCCTGATCATTTTGAAAGTGGCATTACTGTAAACACTAAAACCAAACCAAAGTGTAAATGCCAAGATCAATCCTATAGAAGCTAATATCCTTTTATTAAGCGATTATTAAATGGAATGCCCAGCCTGGAGATGTATGTTTTGAGACAGGTACAAAGAGTTAAGCAGATATGTATACAGCTTTAAAATCCTCACAGACTTGAGTCTACTGGAATTTCCCTTATGCCTGGGATAATCTATTCTGCTTAAAAATGTAAAAGTGGTTTCAAATGAGTAAAAGTTAAAGGTCAGAGCCTGTATTTTCTTATCTTAAAACCTTATTCTGTACGAAATCTTAATACTGATAGTGATTAGTAAACATAATGCTTAATTTTCCGTGTATAATTTCCAAAGACAGGTCAGTTCATGACACCACACAAATGGAACAGCCTGAGGAAGTGAGACTGGTTAGAAGGGTGTTTCTATCCCTCCCTCTTGAGATAAAGTGGGCCTGTTCTTACTTTTGTGACATTTCTATGGAAAAGAAATGATCAAGTCTATCTAGATTTTAGAAGAAGAAACCATGAGAATCGATGGTAAATGGATACTGCCACTTTATGCATAGGGAGTAACTCCCAGTAACATTACCAATCCAATGTGTGTATGCTGACTTTTAAAAATTACTTCTTTCATTGTTTGACCACACTCTTATCACTATGCAGTCACCTAAGGTTCTTATATTACATACTGCAATATTTTTAAAACACCGTAAAAGAAGAACAATCAAGCCATAGGGTAAACTACAGTTTCACTTCCTTAAAAACCAACAGAAGTGATTAATTACATGTTGGCTAACCAACCCTTAAAAAAAAAAAAAAAAATCAAAACCAAATGGCATAGGATGATTTGTGGAAAACTTGTTCTCTGAAGTCTTCTGATACCTAAACCATTTAAAATTCAGACAGACTTATTCTATAATTTCCTTCTGTTTGACATAGTTGGAAAGGTAAGCTGCTTTTTCCAGTTTTATGAAAATCTGTGCCTCGTCCATTTAAAGAACATTTAGAGAACAGCAATGTTCTATTCACTTATTTCACTCCCTTCAACTGTGTTACTCTATAGCTTTTTAAGAATCAGGATATAAAATATATTTTTCACTAAAAACATATACTGATGGAGTTTGTTAAGAAAGTATGTAAGTAAAATTCTTTTTTTTCCTTTTTAGTGTAGTACTAACTAAAGTTGGGGTTACTGAATTAAGAGATTTATACTTTATTACTCTAGCAACTTACAATGTAAGGCTGGCTGACATTAATACAGTAGATCTGGTCAGTTACTCTTAGTTAACTATGGTCTGAAAATATTCAGTGGCACAGCAGTATGATGAAATATGCCCTCCCACTGTTCTGCCTAGGTGGGGGCCCTGGCAGACAGCCACCAGGAACATTCCTGCCTAGCTGTAGGGGATATAGCTCAGGGACCTACCTCAGGGGCCTGGAAGACAAAGCAGTGAGCCAAAGAAAGTCACTGCTATTACTATTATTTTTGGTGGTACTGGAGATCAAACCCAGGGCCTTGTCCATGCCAGATGAGTGCTGTATCACTGAGCTACATCCCCCTGCCCAACAGAATTATTTTTGAGTCTTAAGGTTTAATGTTTCCCCTGTTTAGGTTTTGCACTTAGATGGTTTGCATCAACCATCTCCTTTTTCCTATTTCTCCCTTTTGGGATAGATCTGTCTTTCTTTAACCCTGTCTACACTCAATTTGGGGGAAGAATTTGTCTCAAAATAAGTGTATCTTGAAGCTCACACATATCTGATTTAGATAAGACTTTGGATTTTGGACTTCATCACTGGTGCTGGAATGGGTTAAAACTTTTACAGCTACTGGAAGAAATGGAGGTAGTCTGTATTTGAGAAGGATCTAAATTTTAGGAGGGCGTTGACAGAATGTAAGGGACTGAATGTGCCCCCAAATTCTTATGCCCCACCCATGTGTTGAATCCTAATCACCAAGATGATGGTAGGAGCTGGGGCTCTTTGGGAACTGATTAGGACATGAG